AAAACAATAATAATAATATGTGCCTATGAAACTGATGGATACATTGGGTCTCCGTATATTTGTACACCAGTTTCAATTTGTTGGCGTGCTGCTCTTCCAATCAATCAATCATGATAATAATCATAATAATTATTATTATTTTTATTATGATTGTTGTTGTAGACGAAGTGCTAGGAAGAGTTCCGAAGAGCCTAGAAGAAAAAAAAAATAGATGAACATCCAGTCAGTGTGAAATAAGGTAAAATATTGAGAATAGTTCTGGAGTTTTTAAGAAATAGCTCAGTTGAGCTCAACTGAACATCACCAATTACTGGTGGTGTCAACAACATCTCCAATAAAAAACAACGACAATAATAATAATAATAATCTACCGTATATACTCGCGTATTATGCGACCTTCGAAGACCTAATTTTGAAGCTAATTTCACTACCGTAAATGGCTATGTATTTTGGTTAATGGCGTAGCCAGAGCTAGAAGCGCGTACGCTAATTTTATATCACGTGTATGATACGACTCCCTTAAAATTAGCTTCAAAATTAAGCCTTCAAAAGTCGACTAAAAGGCGAGTGTATACGGTATACACAAAAAAGATTTACAAAGCAATAAAAATCAGAAAAGTTAAAAGAAAAAAATGAAAATTCTCTTCGTGTTCATCAATGTTCCGACAGATGATAGGAAAATTAAAAGAATGAAAAACTGAAGTAGGGAATGGTGATAAAATGACTGTTGTGCCCATCATTAGTAGAGTACTTGGAATTGTCCTTAGCAAAGATGGATAAAAGAAGAACTAAAACCATCCAGACGACAGAATGTACATCCTGAGGAAAGTGCCAGAGTATTAATTAGAGTTGGTGTATCACTTGATTTCCATAGAAAACCATCAGTCAATATTTGTGCAATTAAGAAAAATGAGAGGAAAATGAAAGGAAACCAAAATATCTAGAGAAAATCTTTTGAGACCAATTTCAAATGGAATGGATTTTTAGTTTAACTTCAAACTTTGTTCATTCAGCTTTGAAAATGTCTTTGTGGACGATTATCTCTTTTATAGTATTTATTTATTGCATGCAATGATTCGGTTGATTTGTTCTTCATCCTTCGACAAATGTATTTTGAAAACAACTGTTTTATTTGACAAATCAGTGGATTCATTTTTCGTGCTTCTTTAAAAAAAAAACACAGCTAAAGAACTGGCCATTGTATATTTTGTATTTATTGTGAATATTTAATCTAGTTTTCTTTTTGGTAATTATAAATAGAAATAAAAACTTTGAGGGCAGATGTTGTTGCGTCGCATTCCCGCACTTTATTTGCCGTAATATAGGTGTTCTATAGGGAATATAGGTGTTCTATATGTGCTATAAGTGTTCTATAGGCACTATAGGTGTTCTATAGGTACTATAGGTATGTAGATTGTGTGAGAAGGGGAAGGAGGGGAACAAAACTAGTCGCTGATATGAAATAGTGAATTTTTGAAATATAAGGTCGGATACAGAGAGAAAATTTGATAAATCTAAACGGATTGCAATAGATAAGTAATTAGATATTGACAGGTTTAGATAGATAGATAGATAGATAGATAGATAGATAGATAGATAGATAGATAGATAGATAGATAAACAGGATCCAGTCCACAAGACGGTACAGAAAATTCTACTCAATTCTAAAATCTGATCGAGGAACAGATTTTAAAAAATCCCTTTTTGGGTACATCAGTGAATTTTCACTATATCCCTTCGTACTTTCAGGCAGCTCAGGCTAACAAGGCTATACTCTCACGTAATATACAGTCATTGAATTCCGTTTAAATTGACTAAATTTGCGTTAACTTCATCTTTGAAACAGGACTGAATCGAATTTTCCGAAACTTATACTGGTATCATGTAACCCAGTAAAATCTAAGCCATTATTAGTTGGTAAAGAGATGGGTGCCGTCCTATAACCTCAAAAATTGACATGAAGGTCACAATAAACATCCTCCTCTTACATACACGAACAAGCAAACACTTTCACACACATGACCGGACACATCTGCCAGTTTAGTGTACGCCATTGCGCGCATTAATTGGGTGGCTGCGTGATAATTTACACCTTCCTCCTCTGATAGCAATCACAAACGAATGTAAATAAATTTGGATGGTGTACCTAAAAAAGAAGCCATGCTAACTTTTTTTTTTAAAATTGAAGATCTTTTAATTTTTTTTCACTCACTCGGCATGCCAGAATGTGAAATAAATAAAACTTAAAAAGCCATCAATGAATTTTAATCTGTTGAATAAAAAGAATTATATACACATACATACACACCTATCACATACATATAATACTTCAAACATTATTTTAGTGGATACGCATGTTTAAAATAGACGTATTTTTTTGTTTTTTAAACAGTATTACGTCTGTCGGCCTGAACTCCCGAGAAAAACTTAAAGAAAATAGAACATTTTCTTTATTAAACATGGATAATCACTAAAAATAACGTTTGAAGCAATAAAAACATCAAAAAGGTCAGAATTAAAATTATTTTAATTGTGACCTTGTCACCCCCGACTTTAACTTTCGGAAAAGAGGTAACAATTTGTTTTTAAATTTCCTTAAAAAGCATTTAATCAGCAGTTACTTACCATCGCCAGCAGAATCAAAGTATTGAAACATGAAAATTTTTGTGTATCGATTTAAAATATTTTTATTATAATCTCTTATAATAAGAATATAATAATAATAATAACATTCCACATGCGGCCTACTTACAAACAAAATTATTCGTAACCATTTTGGTTCTCACCAGTCGAGATGCAATTAAATGCACCGAAACGAAGTTGCATCTTTGTAGTGAGTAAATTGTTTGTCTATATGAAAAAATCCTAACGAATAATTATTGCTCTACTATCGGGCATTGAGCCCTCTTTTGAATGAATGATCTGAACCTTAGAGTTTATATATTATTTTCCTTCTCATTACATTCGGATATATATTCGGATATATATATATATATATATATATATATATATATATATATATATATATATATATATACAGAGATGGTGAGAGAGAGAGAAAGCGAAAAAAGAGGGAGTGTAGAGAATGTCAACTTATGCTTTTTACAGAATGCCGGCATAACAGGCCAATGAAATAAATTCGAAATAATAATAATAATAATAATAATAATAATAATAATAATAATAATAATAATCAGATTCTCTTCTGAAACTTCAAATCAAAAAGAAACCCTCATATATTATTTCCGGAATAAAACGCAGATAGATACAAAAATATCGCCATCGGAATGACGCGACCAGATTTTGTGAAAAGAACAAGCAAATGTATTTAGGGGTCGAGTGGATGAAAGGATTTTTGAAAACCCTGCCCTCCCCCCCCCCCGCCTATGGCGCAGGCCATGATCGCTCTTGAGTTAAATACGGGAGGGCTTTCCCATTGATTATTGAACTTTAGCCTGCTCCTCAATTATATTCATAGTTAGGGCCAGGTCTGTTCATGCCTTTCCCAAGTGTTCGAGTGCGAAGTGAATGCGTTAGCCTTGGTCGCAATTTAAAGTTGGCGCATCGATTCAAAATTCTGCGCCTCTAACCCAGTTACTGCCTCGCCTTACACAACGTAACTTTTTATTTGATATCAAAAAGAATAACAAAAACAGTCAAGATTACCTGAAGTGCTTGTGGCTGTGAAATTGTCACGACTGCGTTTAATATCGATCTACAGATATAGTTGCAACCTGTTGACAATTATACTCTATTGTAATAATAATAATAATAATAATAAGAAGAAGAAGAAGAATAATACATTATTAGGCCAATAGGCAAAAATCGACAAAATAATTGCACGATGAGAAAAACGATAACGGAAAATAAATTGTTTTGGAGTCTTTTTAGAAGTAAAAATTGAATAAAATAAGAAAAGCATGCGTTTCTGAAATTTTGATTTTATATATAATATCTAATAGAAATGATTATTATTATTATTATTATTATTATTATTATTATTATTATTATTATTATTATTTCCTTTGAAGTCTGTGTACTCACTTCTTTCCGGGTCCCAACCAGAGACCTAAAGTTAGAAATGGCATCATGATATTTTCCCCTGAGCATTTATAAAAAAAAGCACCCCCCGCAAAAAAAAAAAAAATCACAAACATTTTACATAGTTAAGACCATTCGTAAGGTGCGAGTTGTACATGTGAGTACAACTTATTTCTTTTACGAATATCATCGGCCTAATACACACACACACACACACATATATATATATATATATATATTCCTCACCGGTAGCATAACTCGGAGTTTCATGCACAACGCAATCTTCAGGTGCTAGGATAGAGACTGACCGTTACACAATTTAAATATCTGGTTAACGTACTATTATATTAACAACAGAACTCAGTGTGCGATATATATATATATATATATATATATATATATATATATATATATGTGTGTGTGTGTGTGTGTGTGTGTGTGTGTGTGTGTGTGTGTGCACTCGTGTGTATATATGATGTTTATTACATGCTGTAATGTGTCTTTTTTCTGCTAAAAACAGTTTTGATTAAATATTTCTTCACTTTTTTTTTTTTCAGTAGTTCATTTTACATTGAATCGACACAAACTCCTGTATCGGACCCGGCGGCGTGTGCGTGTTTTCCAAACTTTATCGATCGATCGATCCATTGATCTTCCGACATTCTGTGTGAAGAAAGTAAACATAGGAACGGCTCACACACGTGTGTTTCCATAGAAACCGTATCATCCACCACAATGACGTAAAAAGCGCAACCTTCTTTTCTGTTAGTTTCATAAGAATGAAAACAATAATTAGCATAGAAAATTAATTGTAAACTTTTGGAAGGCCTCAGTGACCTTTCTTGAATTGTTGATACATCGAGAACAACGGCTTCTTTTTAAAATCTCATACAGATTTTAATAGTTACAGAAACATGACAACATCATTCACTGGAACGAAACCTGATGTCACTCTAGAAATGTCAACTGACGAATCCGTTGCTTCGACAGCTGAACAGTTGCCTTCATCAGTCACTGTTGTGGCCTTAACATCACAAACCACACAGACGGCTAATGCTTTGGATTCAATGCCGACGCCGTTGGTTCGATCACTGCTGTCGACCAGCTTAACAGATATGTCATTCAACCGGCACGATGCGAGTAAAGACACGATTAATCCAGGAGACACGACTGCCATGATGGTAGCCCCCGGATCATGTGAGACACGCCCACCGAGTAGCAGTTTACATGAACTCATCCAAGAATGTGACTGCGACCACCGTCACCACTTTCGCCATCATCACTATCATCGTCACCACCATCACCACCACCACCACCACCACCACCTCCATCATTCTCCACCCCTTTTTTCACCGGCCCATATAACTCCGACCTGTTCCCACCAACACGTCCATCACCATCGTACCCTCTACAATCACCACTCTCATGGTCAACCCGGATTGCCGGGTGCCTCTGCTTTGGTGACCCGACGAACATGTGGATCGGAAACAGAGGCAAGGATTGAACCTGAAATTTTGGATTCTTCAGAAAGTGTGCTTTCATCTATATACCGAGGCCAACCCTCTTCGCTCTCAGTCAAAGTCAGAAACTCGACAGAAAACAGTGAAAGCTGTAGTAGTAGTAGTAGTAGTCGAAACAGTAAAACGACTGATATTAGTAATCGTAATCTAATTGATATTAGCGATAGAACAACTCAACAAAGACTCACCGATAATAAAAACAAAGGTGATCACCATGAAGACCGTAGTAGTAGTAGTAATAGCAGTAGTAGTAATAGCAGTAGTAGTAGTAGTGTTAGCGGTTACATTCCTGAGTGGGGCGCTGTTGAAACTTTCCCACTAGTGACTCTTACGGCGGAGGCATCAGCGGCAGTTTGGACAACAGCTACTGTAGCAGCCGAAACCCACAGCCCGTCATTGGTGAAGATCTGCGACCCCCCTGAGCAGGTGGCTACCTCTGTACACCCCCACCACTACCACCATCACCATCATCCTTATTTCAGTCATCACCATCATCATCACCATTATCGACAGCAAAAGAAAGCCGAGGATGAAAGCGACAGTGTTCTAGAGGCGAAGACGCAACAGTTTGGTGTACCCAGCAGACAGACAACCACCCTTCCTGCGTCTGTTAACCCGTACCCGTTTCTCGTCTCAGCTGCAACCTCAAATATTACTACAACGATAACTACAACAATAATTACTACTAACACTACTACTGTTCTTAGCCCACATCTGAGAGCTAATACTACAACCCAAGGAAATAGTGCCTCCTATTCAACTATTATCACTACTGCTTCTTTCACAGTTTCCCCAACAATTACGAGCGTAGTCTATACAGATCGTAGTGTGCCTTTGGTCCACGCCTTCGTCTCACCGACTGGACCCACCAAAAGAAGTCCCAACACACCCCCATCTGTAGCGATAACCACTGCCGGTGCATCTGACCGCATCGTAAACCCTGCTTCGACAAGCGAGGAGGGTGTTGCGTGTGACGAGCTTGTCGCATCAGGACGAAAAGCTAGGGAAAGGGCAGGGGATCTGGCAACAAACCAGACAGAGAGAATAATTGTTGAAGCAGAGAAAGACGTGAAAGAGAAGGAGACTGAAAGTGAAGAGGAACGAGGTGACGAAAGTGTTGAACAGACAAAGGGATCCCTCCGTCTCTGCCGGTGTCGAGGAAACCGAGAAGTAGAAAGAGTGAAAAAGGAAGAAAAAAAAGACAGAGACGAAGTGGTTTTCAGTAGAGTAGAGATCGAAATCGACGGGGAAGAAGAGAAGAGTGAAAACAAGCTGGAAAAATTGGACGAAGGGAAGAGAAGGGAAATTGTGTGCGATGTGGTAGAGTTTGTGTTAAATCGAGATAATACTCCATCTAAAGTAAAAGAGAAACAAGCTTTGATAACAACAAGAATAGTACATGAAAATCAAAACCCATTCATTAATAAAAGCGATTACAATCAATATCACGACCACGTTGAGTCAAATATTTCTTATAAATCCCTTCTTCAAAGCGAGCTAAATCCCCGAGAACAGCAGTTGAATATTCCGGAGTCTTACGAACTCTCCACATGTCAACCGAATTCAGTCGCTCGTGAACCAAAACAATCTACTTCTTTATCGCTCTTACGTCACAGGGACAGCCTTACAGAAGAAAGTACTGTGGTAGATCTTAACTCGTTTTATGTTACGCCACAAACCGAAACTGAATGTTTAGAGACAATTCAAAATGAAAAGGATGAAGAGAGACTGGGGAAAGTTAAGTTAGAAAAAGAAGATGGGGAAGAGGAGGATGAAGTTCTTTTAGCAACTAACGAAACGAATACAACCGTCATTTCCGACCATAACAAACAGGTTGAGGATAGCATACGTCGTCAGTTTGTGGGTCTGAATTTGCGAGGTATTCCAGATGAGAGCCCACCGATTTCTCCGGCTCGCGCCGAACGCAAACCGCTTAAAGTTGCGTTTGTTGGTATGGACGAAACTAAGGAAGCGGACGTTGAACAAGAAGGTCAGCGAGAAAACAGTTCTGGTTTTAACATACGGAAAAATATGAATTGTAATCGGTATCATCAACCACGGATGTCATTACTCGGAAAGCCACTACATTTTCATGGCCATAGGAGGGATGCTAGATATCGGAAACTCCAGGCAAGGATTTACAATTTTTTGGAAAGACCTAAGACATGGCCCTCAGCCTTGTATCACGTTTTAGTGTAAGTACAACATATATAAACTTGGTATCTTTTAATTTTTAATCTTCTATATATATATATATATATATATATATATATATATATATATATATGTGTGTGTGTGTGTGTATATGCATGTATGTAGATATATGTATATTAGAACATATGTTTTGTAAGTGTAGGAAACCATGTGTAACAGACACACGCACACACACACATACATATACACTAGAGTGGATCAATAAGTTAGTAGCCTGGCACGAAATAATTTGTGAATTTTCATCTGAAAATTTCGCACATTCGATCTATGGAATTAATGTCCGCCAGTGAAATAAGTGCATTGACAAGAAAAGAGATTATGTAACGTAATAAATATTTATTGCACAAAATAAATACATTTTTTTTTTTTCATAATTAGGCGACTGACTTATTGATATATATATATATATATATATATATATATATATATATATATATATATATATATATATATATATATGTATATTTATCTATATGCATATATTCGTATATGTATATTACATAAATATATATATATATATATATATATATATATATATATATATATATATATATGCAAGTATACGTATATATACGTGTGTGTGGATTTTACACTGGTTTTTATTTGGTCTGCGATTTCTCTAAGCAATACTAACACTAATAAAATTTATTCATCCTATTAAAATAATTTTGCATTTTTAAAAAGGCAAGTATCATTTTTTTTTTTAGTATTGAAATTTTTCTAAAGTTTTAAACAATTGCTTAATTAATATATATTAATCTATTTTTATATCGTCTTTGAGGGAAATAAAATTTATAGTATTATTAAAAAACGTTTATGCTTTTCGGATTTCATATCGCGAATATATTGGCATATTTATTTTAATACTTATTATATCAACAAACCCTAGAAATAGAATGTTGTTATTATTACGAATAATTTTCTATATAAAAATAAGAAAGCATTTTATTATGATAAAATGTATGTTAATCTTAAAATTTACGAGATGTACATGACAAAAAATGATGCTATTTGTTTTTTTGTAGAAAATAAACATGATTTTATTAGAAAAAATGATGCATGCATTTGAAAATAAAAACGATTTACTGAAATTATAAACACTGTCTCTCACCAGAAATTGAATACTTTTACAAAACAAGTCCTTATTTTTTTTCAGGCGTTTTGGTTTTATATTCTGAAAAAATGATTCTATTTTTCAGGTGATCATTTGTTTTGTTTTCTTTTATTTCATTTCAGGTTAGACTTTGAAAAGTTTCCATGATTTTTTTTTTATGATAAGCAAATCACTTCAAATTCAATACTGAATCATATCGAAACATCTATTTCTCATTTAGCACAAATTTTATAACGCACCTCAAAAGTATTGTACAAAACAAAAAGTAAAAGTTGAAATGGCACGGGTATAACATGGTTAAATGTAAATTGATTAATGTCAAATGTTTATATGTATGAGGAGTTACACAAAATGTCAAAAGATAATCAAATAATTAATCTATTCGTCCAACAAATGACACAGGGTTTCCTTTGTCTCGCCGGATATTTCACATATTGTTCACTCCAATAAGAAATCACTCCAGAAGTAATTAAACAACTTAAGTGCCTATCAACTTTGTTTCTTGAAGGGAGCTGTTTCGTACATTGCATTTCCTGAAATTTTACATAGAATCTCCTATTAATATCTATAATCCTGCTTATATGTACAACCGTATATATATATATATATATATATATATATATATATATATATATATATATATATATATATATATATAGATAGATATGTGTGTGTGTGTGTGTGTGCTGTAAAGAATGTAGTTGATTGATATCTTTTATTTAAGTTTGAATTTACGAAACTATGTTAACTTTTTCTAATTGGGAAATTTTATAAGAAAATAATTTAAGAATCGAATATTGGTGAAGTATTTGATTTTGAAATTACAGATCAGATTCTACTGGAATACATCCAACATAGTTGCTGACATTAGTGTCATAAACACTGATGGATTTATCGAAAAGAGGACGCATTTTTAGTGCATTTTTAATAATGAAACATGTGAAATCACGAAATGGAAAATTCGCCTCTGCTGACCTGCAGAAAATAAATTATTGTGAATTTGAACATTTCTAGTAAATTACATTTCGAAAATTGTATTTCGTTATGTTTCCATTTAATTTATTTATAGGACTTTTTTTCATGCATAAACGCATTGTGCGATTTTGAGATGAACATAAAAGATGAAGACAATAAAAGAAAGACAAAAATTAAGTAAGTTTTCTTAAAATGATAAGCAATATTTGTTTATGAATAACCGATGTTGTTCTTAATGGAAAGTGTTAAACTTATACAGTATGTCATGTTTCGTATCGTCGTGAGATTAGGTTTTCAAACATCAACTTGCGTAGAGTACAGCTGAACAAAATTGCAAATTGCAAGAGATAACCTTGTTGATATTTATTTATAAAATGCATTTTCATTTAATATTTT